GGGAAAACAAGTATTTAATGTACCTTTCCCTTGATGGGACAACATTTAATGCATGAGGGCTCGGAAGTGAAAGGTAATAAATGTCCCAAAGCCTGGACATTTAATACACTTTATCCGAGAGAAGATCATTAAACGTTCGACAGACAGAGGAGAAAACATTAGTTGCTCGGGGCCCCAAGCAGTAAAGAATAAGATCATTACTCATAGGAATTGGTGTGTACGCTGCCCATTCCCAATGATTACCTACTAACTACGCTGTCAGCAATGATGAGTTTTTAAGGTATAAATAGTCTTCACAAACATGGAAAAGGGGTACGTAACTAACCCTCTCTCAACCATCGTACAATGTTCTCTTATTTCCCTCTCTAAAAGAACTGACTTGATCGTCGAAAGAGATACGCCGAAAAACACTCTGGCGCCCTTCTAACCTGTTTTCTTTTGTTCTAGCAATCTCCTTCAGTTTTCCAGGATCACTCAGGCGACTCGTATCAACGGTTGATTAACCACCTTCGACCCTCACAACCTGTTTAACTAGCAAGACCAACCACCCAATTTCGGACACGTGTTCACCACAGAAGAGATCTGTTCTAGTATTTATATTGTACAGAATCTTGCACTCACAAAAGCCAACCAAACTGAAGAAAGAACTAAAAACTCAGAAGAGGAAGTATAATCCTACCAACATCTTGAAACAAATATGTTTAACACATGTACCTAGTATTTGGTTTTTATACTATGATAGTACTCCAAACTAAGAAAGAACGTGAAAAAATTAATGATGTTTTTTTATATTTTCAAAAGTTTCTACATGCAATTCTAATTATAAGAGAATGATTAAAATCTACGATGATTTTTCGCTTGTTGGCCTAATGTTCCAAACCATTTGCAACACCACACACACTATCCCCTTTCAAACTGATCCTCTGGTCTTTGATCATTAATTTGTCAAGCTAATAATATTGTGGGATATATTCTTCATCCTCAAATTGTATGTTGATTAAAAAAATAACATTTTATTTCTTCATAGTCAATGTTGAGAATGCAAATACATTTCTACTTAAAAAGGAAACAAAATTGTTATTTGTGTAGAGCTGACGTACTAATGAGTTGAGTTAGGAGTGGAGCCAAAAAATTATTTGGGGGTAGGCATTGGACATTGTAATAACTTTAATTTTTTTATCTTCTATCGATAAAAATTGAATAATATATTTATATTTAATTACTTCTTATTTAATACATAAAAATTTATTAAACCCAAAAGACCAAAAATTGGGAAGCATAATATATATAAATATGACCAAAAAAAAGACTTACTATATTTTTTTTACAAAACGTAAGTATTAACGCTATTTAGAATTGATCTTAATAAATTTTCATACTTTAAAAGTGTTGCATAAGAGTATTTTTAAACCTGACTCAAATTTAAACTTAAATTTAAATTTGAGTCTAAATGGTTTGAAAAACTTCATTAACTTTGGACTCAAACCTATACCAAATCAATAAAAAATTTATCTTGAACCCAAATTAAAAGAGACTCAAATTCTATACCAAATTTTCAATGAAAACTTTTTATTTTATTCAAAGCCAAAAGATTTGTTCAATGACTTATTCTCTGTCTCTTCTTCCTTCTATCTTTTACGCTATTTCCATCGCGGACTGCCACCGAAACATTCACAAATCCTTTAAAAACCTATAGATAAGTTTCTTCATTTTCATTGTCTATCTTCTTGATTTCTTGTATTTTTTAAAACCTTAACCTCATCAATCTTTCATACTATATAAGTTTTAAACCTACTCATCAAATTTTTCTTTGATTTTTTTGAGTTAATTATTGTCTATAGTGTAATTATAAGTTTTCGATTCTTCCTAAAATTTTAAGCCTCACTACCCACAAATTTAGAAAATTTGTTATTTTACTTATTCAATTATCCATTTTTGTTGAAAAAAATATGTTTTTTGTGTTCTTCAGACTAGACCAATATCAAAGTAAATAATTTTGTTTATCTGGATTTACAAAAGAAGATAATGGATTAGAACAATTTAAAAATTTTGGGGCGATTTTCTTTTATTTTTCTATTTCTTTTTATTCTCAGGTGATGTTGTATCCATATTTAATTTTTTTTCAAATTACCCATTTATGGAGAGTTGAAAATTTCATTGATTTTATCAAATTTCATGATTTGAATGATATAAAAACTGAGTTTTGAGATAATAAAAAAATCTTTTTTAAACATTTGAGTAGATATTTGAGTTTGTCCATTGGAGTACTCTATGCGAAATCAAGTTTTTTTACGCAAATTTGAATTATGCTTGGAGGTGCTCTAATAACTTTTTTATTCTCTATGTATAGACAATCATGATATCAATTAGCTCACTCGTTCAATTAAACTCTCTAATGTCTGTCATAATTAATAACATAAATATCAAAATTACAAGTAAATAAATGGGTATATCATGTCTTTTCTAGTCTTGATCATTTTCCTGAACAAGATCACCAAGTCCTACTAGATTTAAAAGTTCAATATTAGATCAAAAAGTGTCATGAATTCCCTAATATCATAGAGTTGTCATCAATTGTTCAAATAAAGATAAATCTCATCTCCTTGGATCATATGACAATCACTTTGTGCACTCGTTGGAGGTCACACAGTTGTCAATAGTTTTTCTTCCTTTCTCAGTTTCTCTCTTTCTCTATCTTTGTATCTCTTTGTCATATGTTTCGATCTTATTTATGTAAGGTTATTAGACAAACATATTTATATCAAGTTTTTTCCTAACTCTAAATAATATTTTTAATTTGTGACTTTGATTCAATATCTACTTACAAAAGGATTTTTTTTTTATTATTGCACAGAGACCCTAATTTTATATGATAATTATGCTAATATGTATTCAAAATTTATCAAGAGGGGTGCATAAGTATATCTCCAATATTTATTTTCTAATATTTATTTACATTTAAAATTTTAACCATAATTAAAAAAAAAACCACACTGGGACACCCTACACCACAAGAAATAGGATTTTTAGTGGCAAGATTGTAGCTTTTAAAAATTTAACCGCAACAATTTTTGTGGTTAAATGTCTAATTTCTTTTAGTGCTAGTTCTAATTAGTCTATCTAATGAGAGAAAATAAATAATTTAAATAATACTTTTCCTCCACTTTTTATTTAATAATGCACCGTTTAGTATGATGAAAAAGTAGGAGCATGAAAAGTTGGAAGGATGGAAAGTTGGAGGGATAAATAAAACATCATGTTTTGTAAGAAAGGAAAGTAAGAAGGATGGAAAAGTGGATGAATTAACTTTCCTTCCAACTCATCAAAATCAATCCTTCCAAAATCGAAAGGAAAGTGGATGGAAAATTAATTATTTGTGTTAAGATGTATCTTATTTGTCTATATATCTTATGTATACATTAATTTCATATAAAAATATAATGATAAAATATGTATATATATTTTAACAAATTTTAAAAATTAATTTAAAAAAAATTAAAAATTAAAAATAAAAAAATAAAAAATTTAAGTTAAAAAAAATATTTTTTCCATCTTAACAAAGGTAAAAATTTTCTACTCAACGCGATAACACGATTCGAATTCGATACGAAAATAAATAGGTCAACTTGCAACTCAACACGACACAATTAGTTAAATGAGTTAAGTTAGATTAACTAATATTCGACACAAACTTGTAATAACTCAACACAAATCTGACACAATACGACTCGACTCTATTGTCATCTCTAATCTTAGCCAGCACCAAAAAAAATAAATAGTCATTTTTATTTTCTATCCATCCAATCAAACACAAATGAAATAAAGTGTATCCTTCCTACTTTCCATCCTTGAAAGATAAAAAGTGTATCTCTCTTACTTTCCCTCATTCATACTTTCTATCCTCCCTACCAAACGGAGCATAATAGTAAAAATTATCAAATAAAATTCTTTTCATACTTATTTATGTTATTTTATTATTTTTAAAAGTAAAACTATAAGTCAAATGAAACTAAAGTTCGTAGTGTGGATAAAATATAGCTAATATTACCGTTAGTAACTTGAACTCTTTCACTCATAAACATATAATAACAATTTTTATATATTTTGATTCAATAATATAAAATTTATCTCAAATTTATTTTTCTATTCAAATATATCAGTATTTTTAAACGGTCCTCAATGTTAGATAATTCAATTTATAAACTCTCCAATATCAAATAATCTAATTAATCAACACATTCCTCTCTCTCCCTTCCTTACTTTTCTCTCATTTTTTTCTGTTTTCTTTAATTTTATAATTTTTACTATTACATAGCACAAAATATTATAAAAGATATGGTATTAAAGTTGGTACTATGGCCCATTTCCAAAAGTAAAATCCAATAAGGTCCGAAGTGCGAACCCGAGCATACACGGGCAACCAGTGGTCTGTTTGTCTGACGGAGCGACTGGAAGGTTTCAGAGAGAGAGAGAGAGAGAGAGAGTGGTGGCACACGTAGGAATCACCTCCTTATCATCCTCCATTCCTTGTATGTCTCGTCCTCGTCGATTCTCCTTCACAAAACCCAAACAATTTGCTAGTAAGGACGAACTCTCCACACTTTCTTAAGTAGATTGTGACCTATAAGTACTAAAATTTTGTTCCTGCTTGAGAAAACATTTTATGAGCTGAATAGTTTTCGACCCACCAACTGTTTCATGTTCTTTTGAGACCAATTTTGTTGTTTTCTTTATTGAAATTGGTGAATATAAGGAACCAACGTTTATGCATGAAATAGATGTACGCTTCTTAAGTATTCTTTGTTTGTTATTTGGAATTTAGTGCAATTTTCCTTTTCCAGTGAATGTTGTTTGATAATTTGAACAGTGATGGAGTCGAATTAACTGTTAGTATGTTCTTGACAGCTTCTTTCGCGGTCTACTTGTATCATAAAGTTTCTCTTATTGGTCACTCTCCCCTGTCTCTCCTTGTGTAGATTATTCCCCATTCAAATTGGCTGATGGGTATATATATATATTGTACATCAATTACAAAACTTTCAATTCATGAATGCTGGGGATGAACCATCCCTGGACTATATGCTCATTATTTTATTTGTTGACTTCTATAACCAAATTTCAGTAGTTTTTCACAAAAAAAAAAAAATAATAATAATTGTAGAAGGGCTATGCGTGTGATTGTTTTATAAGTATCTCTTGTGATAATCTTCTCGATAAAGTTTTTTGATAATTTACATTTTGATGAAGGTCTAGGCTGAAAGGGGGTTGGGGATGGGAATTTGAATGATGTGTATATCTTTATTTAGCAGATCATAACACTTTAGTATGTTGATTTTGGAGTTGCACGGCTACACACAGGAAGTTTACATTATATGGGTTTTTTATTGAATAGTTTTTATTTTTTCATGATGTTATGGTTTTATAACAGGGGCTACGATGCATGATGATCCAATCCGTGAATGGGTTCTATCAGAAGGAAAGGCAACACAGATTACAAGGATTTGTTCCATTGGTGGTGGATGCATCAATCTTGCCCATCGTTATGACACTGATGCTGGGTCCTTTTTTGTTAAAACAAATAGGTGTGGTGTTCTTCGATGGTTGGATGATTTAATTTGGTGCTTGGGTAGACAAACAATTGCTGAGTTACTTCTGAATATAGTCTGATTTGTTGTTTTATTTGCTTTTCACCCTAGTATTACATATAGTATAATGTCCAAGTTGTGAACGATCTTTCTTATAGGATGACTTGTTGATGGGGAATAATAAAATGTCATATAAAATAATTACTGTTATGATGCTTGCTTGATCTGATGCTGTTGAAACTGGAACAGGAGTATTGTACCATCAATGTTTGAGGGAGAGGCTTTGGGTTTAGATGCAATGTACGAAACTGGATCGATTCGTGTGCCTAAACCATTGAGCAGAGAAATTCATATCACCTTGTAGGTCTACCTATGCAGGTGCTTAACTGTAAAACCTTACAATTTCTTCTATTCACAATAGGTTGGAGCCCTGCCAACAGGTGGTTCATATGGCATTATGGAATGTATTGAATTTGGCTCTTCTAGAGGCAATCAGGTGGGAGATGATTTTTTTTGTAGCCTGTTGACGGAGTTAACAATTATCTATCAGTTCCTTGACCATTCACCAGTCCTCAGTCTGCACTAGGAAGGAAGCTTGCTGAAATGCATAAAGCGGGGAAATCTGAAAAAGGTTTTGGTTTTTATGTTGACAAATACCATTGGCAGGTACATGTCTCACTCCTAGATCATTATCATTTCTCTCTCTCTCTCTCTCACACACATGCATTTGCACCTACTCGACTACAACACACCAACAAATGTTGAATGCTAGAATCATTTGAATCACTTTCAAACTTGTCATTTTTAATGGTTGAGCATCAATACCCATGTTTCTCATCTTGAATCTAAACACATACGCATGCTTATGCACCTACGGCTACTAACTATGGCACACTAACAGATCTTGAATGCAAGAAACATATTGAATAACTTTTGAACTCGTCCTTTTAATGGCTGATCATTATCCCCCATGTTTGTCATCCATTTGCCAAGTTCACTAAGAAGAAATTTTCAGTAAGTTACTAACTCTGCGTATAATAATAAGTGGAAATGCTTCCTTGAATTTGAATGAATCCATATGTATTTGTGTAGTACTCCACAGATAAACACTTGGACATCAAATTGGATTCAATTTTATGGGGAGCATAGATTGGGTTATCAACTGAAGTGGGCACGTGAACAGTATGGTGATTCAACCATATATGAAAGAGGTCATCTTCTACTTCTTGTAACTTGTAACTTGTAACTTGTAACATTATGGTGGGAAAATAGATTTTATCCTGTATCATACTTGCGGTACTCAAATTCTTGATGACCAAACCAATTAAATTAACTGCCCTGTGCATTAATATTTGATATAGAATTAGATGTACTTATCTGGTATTAGTGATTTCTGCTGGTGTATTGGTTGTGTATTTCATTTATCGCAGCACTGAAAATCTTACGGTTACATTCTCCCTAGCTTGATTTCTAAGCTATCAACTATCAGTGACCAATATCTTGCTTTTGAATTATATTAGCCTAATGACTGTTGCCATGGGATTTTAAAACTTGACATTCCCATTTAGATAGACTAGTGGTGTGCAAGTGTAGGACATTTTTGTTTCTAAGATATATCCGCCTACTATTATTCTTGGAAATGACATGGTTCATTATTTATCTGGTTTGTGAGTACTAACAGGACAAAGACTGGTGAAGAATATGGGACCGCTTTTCGAAGATGTTTTGATAGAGCCATGCCTGTTACATGGAGACTTATGGAGTGGGAATATTAGCTCTGACAAGAACGGAGACCCTGTTATACTTGATCCAGCTTGTTACTGTAAGTACAAGTTGATTTAGGTTGCAATACCATTTTGCTCCTAGATGGTTAGTATGCATTTTCCTTTTTAGTTAGTGGCTACTACATGTTAGCCACTGAACAGCCAAGAAAAATAGCAGGACACAATTAGATATGGTTGGTGGCTTTTCTGTCACCTCCAAAGCCCAGTTCCAGGTGGTATTTGATGAAACATATGAAAATTCCAAAATCAAAATTTTCCAAAGATATGTACTATTTACAAAGAAGCAACTGGTGACATGGGGAACCAACCATTTAATGCCTGTTGAATCATAGGATACACTTACCAAGTTAGGAATTACATACTTTTCATTCAGGGTTTGGAAAAAGTTCTGAAACACACTGTAAATCCTATACTTTTATGGGTATTTTTTTCCTTTCATTAAAAATGAGAATGGGTGGGAACTGTACAAATTTCCAGCAGAGAAATAAGTGTAATTGCGCATAGTCAAGTGGTATCTACATTAATGAACTGGAAGCTAAGGGGCATCTGGATGATTGAAATAAAGGTCATCTGTTTTGTATATAAGTGAAACTTTGAAAAGCAATTACCATGGATGAGATGTTTGTGACAGATGATAGGTTGGTGTGCATGGCTGTGTTTGACTACAATTTCTTGTTTGTAACGCGGTAGTGTAGTATATCCTGTCCATTGGATATTTACATGGAGTTGATAAAGGGTTGCTGGTAGTGAGAGGTGCCATAAATAGGACTATGACTTGGACCTGGGATTGGGAGAGGATGAGGGAAGGGAAGGCAACCTAAGAAGAAGCTGGAGGTGCCACCAATATTCAATGAGGGTTAAGGAATGAGTGGTAGATTGGCCCCTTAATGGGGCATTAATGTCCCAATACCGTGAGGCTTGACCAACATTAAATGCAAGCTCAGCATATAAACCTGCACGGACTTGAAGACTGCAATACATATCCGGTGTTTGGTAACTGTCTTGGTTCTTTTTGGGAAGCCCATGACAAGGGTGCAGTAAACCTAGTCCATGGTACTACCGTTTGAGACAGTGAAATCCTTGCTTAAGTGGCCAGGTTATTACCCTTAAAGCTTATCGCAGCGAAAAGGTGCTGTGCTGCTGTGTCTTTCTGTCCCAGTCCAACGTTGTCAAGGCAACTGAAAATGCTTGCGAGCTATATGGCACCGAGGCAGAGAATGACATGTCCGATGCAACACGTGAAAGCTGTTGGCTGGGTACATGCCATGTCGGATTGAAGGATAGGCATGACTAGTCAACATACGGGCTATGTCAGGATTCAAGGATGAGATGCATGGCAGACAGGTGGGACCACAAGCAGTCGATTGCTCTAATAATATAATGTCAGATAGAAGTTCTGATTATCATAAAATATGCAGAAAATTGGTTGAATATGTTTCTTTTTAAGAGCTTCTACTGCTATTTAGATGACTACGTGTTGATGTTGCAAGTCCTTCCATTATATGTAGATGGACATAATGAGGCAGAATTTGGAATGTCATGGTCTGCTGGATTTGGGGGATCTTTCTACAATGCCTATTTTGAGGTATCTTCCTCTCCATTTTCACTTTCAGGCAGATCCAGGTAGTATATAGCTAGAAGATCATGCGAATATACCATATTTCTTTATCATGGTGTTCCTAATTTCCCCCCTTTCCCCTTAGTGTGGCAAAGAAAAACAGATGAAAAAGATGAAATGATATGAAATATACGTTCGACGATATGATCATTATGTGAACTATGAATGAAAACATTTGATGCTTAAAAAAGTGCTTCCAATCTCATTTGTTCAGTTTCATTCTTGGTTGATTTCCAATCCAAATTTTAAGGGAGTTTGTTCATCAGGAACTGTTTTTAATACCCTAATTCCGTCGTTTTTGCTCTTGTTTCAGGTCATGCCCAAGCAACCAGGCTTTGAGAAGAGGAGAGATCTTTATATGCTATACCATTACTTGAATCACTACAATCTATTTGGTTCTGGCTATCGTTCATCTGCCACGTCCATAATTGACAATTATCTGCGGATGTGGAAAATATATGTACATTTCTTGTATAGTTGTATATTTGCTACTTCTAGATTTTCAAGCGTCTCTTCATGTTGTATATTTGCTACTTTCATTTCATGTTCTTTGTTTTTGTGCTTTTTGGGTGGATTTCTTATCCGCCATTTTCTGTAATTCTTTTTACATCTTTTGTTCTATGAAATGAAAATTAATGAGTTCCACATTACTCACAAAAGGCATGGAAATTAAATGGCTATAACTTTAGTATGAAAAAGTATTTCAAATTCAAAACTGACTCCTGGGCTATCCTACATTGCTAGAGCTGGGCTTGGGCCAATCCAGTTTAAGCATTGGATAATCTGGTATGCACTTCGCGCTATTTTTTTCCCCCCCCGAAATAAAAGTCTATTATAAGGGGGCGAGGACTCTGAGGTTGGAATTCATAATTTAAGATTTAATAGTAAGACTGGTAATCATTAGGCCAACCGCTCGCTGATCTCATGTGCATGCTAATTAAAGAGCCAAACTTTGAGAGAAAAAGAAGAGGTGCTCTATGACTATGACTGGGCCATCACGTAGGTGTTGGGTTTGGTTGAAATTAATCCAAAAAAAAAGGTTTTTTTGGATGTCGGTACATCAAAACATACTTATTTGTCAAAGAGTCTTATGTGGAAAATATTTTATTTTTATGTCCATCCTAGATGGAAAATGTTTGTTTTGTCCTTGTGTAAAAAAATGAGTAAAGAAATCGCCGAAAATGGAAAGAGTTTAAATGACTCAACTATTACCATATTTTTTTTTTCTCAAAATTTACTTATTGGATCAAAGATTCAAAGATACAATGAGCTACAACACAATGATCGATGATTAAATGTAAACCTCGATCAACCTTGACAAAGTTAGGTACCAATTCCAACTATAGTTGGTACGTACCTTAGCTTATTTGAATACCACAAACATGGTTGGGGAAAGTAAAGATTTTTTTTTATCTTCTTTATTTTTTAATTTTGCTTGATTGACTCCTTCTCTTGCCTTTATTGATCAAGACGTGGCTTGTTTGAGGCTTTTGTTTGTGTACCCTTTCCGAGAAAATTCGCGAACCATATGGCTGATTCTTTTAGGTATCTTGTTAAATCATTATTGTAATCGACATAAATGATGCCAAAACGAACAGTATAACCATCCATCCATTCGAAGTTGTCCATTAATGACCACGCAAAGTATCCTTTCATGATGACACTATCACTACAAAAAAATGCAAGATATATAAATTAGGTATATATACCATAGTTAAAACACAACAGCAAAGTTGGACAATGTAGAGGCAGAAAATCGAAGATACCTCTAATGGTGAATTTGCGATGTGATTTCTGGAAAAGAATACTAAACAATCTCCAAATCTCTTTCCTGCAAAACGAACAAAACTGCCTAAGATCGAAGTGCTTCGATCGAAGGCACTCCGATGCTTAAGTCAGTAATGAAACAGAGAGAATTGTACCAAGATAAGGAGAATTTAGCGTACATTTCACCTTGGTCTCTTTTGCTTTTTATATGTCATTATCCCTTAGGGTTTCCACGATTTTAGATTCAAGGTGACACACCTTCCTTTAATTCAGTAGTTGAGTTTGAGAAGTAACTGATACTTCTCAAACAATTTCTCTTGATATCTTCAATCTCCTTGATTTCGTTTATCTAATTGCATGAATTTTAGGCGAATATTTAACTTTCCTTTTATCGTTTTAAACTGCTCAGGCATTTCGAATGCTGAGCTCTATTAACTTTTGTCGAACTATTTGGAAACTTGGCTTGACACAAACCGTGCATTCTGGAGATCTGGGCTTGGTACAAGCCGAACACTTTCCTTGCATAGCTGAAGAGATTCATGAGCTCGGTAAATTGAGCCGACCTCTTTTCTTTGTTTGCCGAATTCACTGATCAGTTCGGGTCGGATCATAAGATCAGGTGGATGACTTATTCGTCATGTGATCTATCTTGTCAATCTTACGTGAGCTCATTTCATGTTCTAACACGTGTAATTCTGAGGGCTAGCCCCTTCATTTGCCCCCAAAAAGCGTCTGACAGATGTCTTTCGTCCGTCAGCCATTTTCTTGTTTTCTCATCATTACTATTTGTACATTGGAGCATCCCCCTTTGTTTTGGTGGCATATTCAGGGCATTTAAATACGGCCCTTTGAAATTCCTTCCTCTTCATAAACCGCCTCTTTCTTCGCATTTCCTTCACTTTGCTTTTTGCTTTCTGACTCCTATTCTCTCTCAATTTTACTTATGTGTTTTTTCTTTCTCGAATTTACTTCATTTTTTCTTCAATGGCCCCTCTAACTCCTTTTGAGGTTCCCACCTTCAAAGCCAAGTACAACATACCAGATGACGTTGAAGTTAGAGTCGCCGAAAAGGATGAGCCTCTGATTGGCACGAGAGAGAGGATCCCTATTCCTACTCGTGCCATTACCGAAGGTGGAATTCGCTTACCCCTTGACCCTCTTCTTCTTTGGATCCTTTCTGCCGCAAAACTTTGTCCTCTCCAGTGTTGCCTCAACTTCTTCCAAATTGTTATGGGTGTTTCTTCTTTGAATAAGCTTCTTGGTCTGAGTCTGGGGTTATGGGAGATTCTGTACTGCTATATCATCAAGGTCGCGAGAGATAGCTACTATCACTCAGTGAGGAAGAATGAGAGATATCTGGTCACACATCTTCCTGACTCAAATAAGGGTCATGAAAATGAAGTCATTTTTGTCTCTGGCAACTGGGAATATGTCCCCGGTGCTACCCCATCCTACTGTTGCCTTTACGAAGAAGGCTTGCTAGGTAATTATTTTTTTTTTAATCTGCTATGGTGCTGGTGTAGGAGAGACTGTGAAAGGCAAGGTCCTTGAGTCTTTTTTGAAGTTGGATCAACTTCAGAAGGTTTGAGATTTCAACGAATCGCTTTTCTACCGAGCTGCCCACACCTTACTTGGGTACACACCAACCTACTCATGTTTCATAGCTATGCCGAACCGACCTAATGCAACTCTTGCAGTGGATCGGGAGGCTATCCAAGTTGCTCGGGAGAAGGCACCCCGAGGAAAGAAGAGAACATCTTAAGCAGCCAGTGGACGCAAATCAATTAACCTTCTAGATTTTCTATCTACGGATGAGCCCGTTCTGTCCAGTGAACCGACCTCATCAACTGCCGAGGCTCGGATCATTGTCCTTAATGAGCCGATCCTCGATGTCATCCCTGAGGAGACTCTACCTGCAGCCGTTGATGCAAGTCTGCCCCCACTTAACCAAAGCAGTTTAGCACCAGACGTTGAAACTTCTTTTCCAATTGAGACAGACCCTCCAATCGCTGTTCACTCCCCAATTGAAGATGACGATTCGGTTTTTTGAGATTGCCGAGGACCGAGTTCTAAAGAGGCATAAGACAACAGAATCTGAAGCCCCTTCTTCACCAAGGCCAGCTAGCGCCCTTTTCCGCCTTGTTCTTAGGGCCAAAAGAAAGGAAATTATTTCAAAAGACTCAACAATGGAAGACTTCAATGTTGCAGTTGGCCTTGCTAGGGGAGTCATCTTGCCTCGGGACCTTGCAAAGAACAAGGCGTTAACAGATGATGAAGTGTCCCGATAGGCCATTCAGTATATGGTTTTGGTAAGTCTATCTCCCTTTCTTTTGAGCTTCTTATTACTTCTCGGAAATGTTTCTAAGTTATTTCAATCTTCTTACTTTCTAGGGTCTTCAAAAAGTTCATGAGGTCAGAGCTCGGATTGCACATAAAGACAAAGTGATGAAAGATGCAATCCATGCCCGAGTTTCGGCCCTCTCCAAGAAAGAGAATGTTGATGAAGAATACGTCAAACTTTGCGAAGAGATGAAGGTTCTGCAAGCTAAAAACCAAAGCCTGTCCGAAGAGAACTTGAAACTTTGTTCTGAGAATGAAAAGTTGAAGGCATCCAACACGACACCAATGTTGAACTCTCTCAAGCCCAGCTTGACTATTCCACACTCCTTGAGGAGTTTGATCAATATAAAGTAGAAGTTGAAGAGAAGGCAGACATTGCTTACAATGAGGGTGTTGACAAGGCAGAGGCTGATATTGTCCAGCAGATGCCTAAGCTCAAAGAGGCACTCTTTAGCCAAGGCTGGCAGGCTGCTTTAGTTGCTGCCAAAGTCAATCCCTCTTTTGAACTTTTCTCCAAGCATACTCTTCCGAGCTCGTCCCAGCCACCTTCCTGCTGATGAAGACTTAGAAAAATTTTGCAATCCATTTTTATCTTTTATTTTCCTGAAATTTTTGTATTTTTGAATGAAAAAATCGCAACTTTTCTGCAATATATTTTAATGAATGCTCATTTCAGTTCTGTAATTTGCGTTGATGAATGCTTAGATAAAATTTTAACTCATAGCATAAAAATCTTTAAGGCTCATTGAAGTTATGGCCATTGCTCAGTTCTTCTCCAAAGAGCTTGGTTCCCCTTCTAGGACCTTTTTTTCTGCTTAGAAAATACTTAGTCTTTGAAGTTGTGGCCTCTGTTCGGCCCTTCTTCAAAGACTTTGGTTCCTCAACAGGGACCCTTTTGTTCTTAGAAAATATTCGAGTTATTAAAGTTGTGGCCCTTGCTCGGCCCTTCTTCAAAGAGCTCGATTCTTCTTTAGGAACCCTTTTCTACTTAGAAAATCTTTGAGTCTTCGAAGTTATGGCCCTTGCTTGACCCTTCTTCAAAGAGCTCGGTTCCTCAGTAGGAACACTTTTTATACTTAGACAATTTTTGAGTCTTTGAAGTTATGGCCTTTGCTCGGCCGTGCTTCGAAGAGCACGGGCGATCCGTAGAGTTACTCAGAGTCCTTTGGAAGACTGAGTGTTTCTACTCCGTACTGACCCGCCAACCTAGTTGGACTCAAACCCATCCCTAGTCAGCTTGCATCATCATGCCTAGCTGAGGGACTGGGTCTGATCGGGTGGCTGTGCCTGATTTAAGTAGATAACTTCTATCATGATTTTTTGCCTCCCTACCTTAGCAGTATGATGTGTATAAGAGAGATACGAATAAGGAAATCTTCAAATACTTTTATTAATAATTCTCAACTCAGTACACTGTCATTCACAGATCAATTCTTAAGGGGCACCCTTAAATTTCCAAAGGCACTTTGGAGCTCTATCTAAAAAGGTACT